TTTTCCGACATCCGCGTCTCCAGGTTGTCGAACTCACAACGAGAATCAGTGACCCTTCCCCGAATCTCATTCTGTTCAGCCAATGCCCCTGCCACCAGGACAGCCGCAGAGTCCACGTCTGCAGAGAAGCCGTCGCAAAGATCCTGAGATGCAGCAGCCATAGTGTCACTGGTTAAAGGATTATAGTTTAGGCAGGTTTCGGGTTTTCGGCTTGCTTGAGTGTACTGTTTTGATCCGTGCAGTAGCACTGAAAGTTGCCACTGCATACAGAGATGTCGGGCTGTGGCCAAACCTTATATGCTTTTTATGCTTTTATAGTCATTCGTAGCAAAACAAACCCATTTTTAAGCAACAGCCCGGTGACGCAGAATCACGCAGAAGTGGCGCAGAAAGCAGCGGGAGTGACGCAGAAAACCGTAGGTGTGTTTCCTTTCACATTTGCAAGAAGTCTGTGTGCAGTTTTCAAGCATGATCTGTCGACGTTCGGCATGCTGTTGTCGGTTCGAGATTCGAGGCTCTTGTGCTAGACTGCACCCATATACTATGGTGAAGACAAACCGGAAAGCTCGTCCAGGCTCCTCGCTTTCTCGAAAGTCGTCGTCTGTCCTTGACAGCAAGAAGCCCGTCAAGGAGGAGCCCGAACCGTCCCTGGAGCAACAGATTCAGGACTGTCTGTTTACCGTCTGAATTCAAGCTCAAGCTCTGCACCTGCCACCCCTTCACAACTTTGCTACATCCTTTGCAGGACGCCAAGAAAAGACTCGAAGCCCTTCAGAATAGTTTGCTGCTGCCTCCTGAACCGGAGCCAGCAGAGCCCCAGGAGACTGAAGCCGAGGAGCCACTTCCCGATGGTGAAGCAACGGCTGCAGAGGCCGAGGTCGCAGATTCGCCGCCGCCTTCCTCAGGGGGCAAGAAGAAACGCAAACTTCGCAGGAAGAAGACCTGCAGGCTTGTGCTAAGGGGTGCTAGCCATGATGGCGAGGCTGATGATGGGCTTGCTGTAGGGGATCTTGAAAAGCCAAGCCGTGACGATGAGGAGCTTGGGGTGGGGCTGGATAAGCCGAGCCATGACGATGAGGAGTTGGGGGTGGAGCTTGAAAAGCCGAGCCATGACGATGAGGAGGTTTCGGGGGGGCATGAACAGTCGAGCCATGCAGGCGAGGAGGTCACGGACACTGGTGTGGATCTTGGACAGAAGCTAGACTCCACCCATGAAGATGCTCAGGACCCTTGGGCCATGGCTTCAACCCCAAGCAAAGAACGGAAACCAGAGGCGACCCCTGGATCCCGTAGCCGTAAAAAGGCCAAAGGCTTCACCGGCTTCACGCCAAAGTCTGCCACACCCCGCAAATCCCTGCTGCAGTCTTTCAATCGTGAAGCCCGGGGTGCCTTGGCTCTCCCAGAGACCCTGGAGCTGCCAGATGAGAAGGCTCCTGGACACCTGGGTGCAGGCTATCAGTCTTTACTCGAGGACACCTTGAGAGAAATCGATGGGGAGGACGACGACTGCTACGTCGTGGGAACCGACGCTTTGCTTAAGTACCCCAATCTAATGTTCTGCTATTTGCATCGTACTCCCCACTTTGTGCTGCAGTGATCTCAACTTAGGATGGCTACGATGGCTCCCCACTGAAGAACTTCCAGGACGCTTGTGATAGCTTCATCCTTGCAATCGTACTTCTACATCCCATGTCTTCTGTGCATGCCTGGCAACATATTAGCCGAGCAGGTCTTGAAGCCAGTCAAGGCAGAGGAGCCAGTGCACGAGGCCAATGGTGACATCACGCCTACAGAGGCTGAATCCCCGCTGGAGGGTCGTACTGACCCTGCAAAGTTGCACCGAGCTAGGGAGCCCGTGTCGAGAGCTCTTGTGGTTGCCAAATCCAAGGTACATTGTCTGCAGGCTAGATGCATAGTTCTAGCAGTCCTAGCACGTCGATCGGGTGTATCATGTTTAGAGATATGACAGATATGTGCAACCAAGGCTAAAGCCCCACAGCTGGACGTCGACGGGCTCTCCAAAGCCGACATGTCCCGACTGGAAGCTGCACTGCACAGGTTGTGTGGCAGTCGCCGCAAGGATGGGAGTGTTGCAGTACCAGAACACATACATCGTATGTGGAAGGCCGGAGGTACTCAACGTCGTGAACTCCGGAAAGTGCTAATTGAATGTGGGGAGAACAAGGACCGAGGACTTGCGATTCGCCTACATACTCGCCTTAATACCCAACTGTGTGTTTATTTTGTTTGCTTGATGCTGTAGGAGCTCTTCAAGCAGCAGGTCGTGCACACGTTCCAACAGGAACGGTCGAACGAGTTTAATGTGAAAAGTGGGTTCTACACCGACAAGATGATGGAGGAAGTCTTGGGGTTTTCGGAGAGCCTTAATCGCATTCTCTGCCGTGCACATGTTCATCTATGTCGTCCCCAAAAGCCAACATCTAAGGGCCCGCCGCAAAGCCGTCCGCAAGTTTTGCCTTCGAAAGGAAAACCGCAAAACTCACGTGTTGCTGCTTGTCGTGAAACAGAATGGAGGGCTTGGGTTCAGGATTGGTGCTTACCGAAAAGGGGGCGACCCCTCTATCCCTTTCTCCTTCTCTCGCTCACTACTATATACATGTGTTTATATAGATATAGATATATATATATATATATGAAGATTCAATATGTATAAATACATGTCTAATTTTTTATACAGCAATTTATCCCCGTGTATATATATATATATACATCTCTCTCTCTCTCTCTCTCTATAGAGCTCTCCCTCTCTCTGGTCTCAGGTGTCTGCTGCTAACTACCCTAACACACACCTCCTTCTTCATCCGAGGAAGGACAAGTACGAGAAGAAGCTGAAGTGGTTCTGGGCCGATGTAGGGTATGAAGGAACACTGACTGAGACCGACAGAGAGAAGTTGACAAGAGAGACAGACATCGCCTCCGGTTCCAAGGTTGCCAAGGTACCGCTTGGCTTGAGTAGAACCCAGCCGCTTCGGCCGGACGCCCCAGCAGCCTCAGGGTCGGAGGATGATGATGAGGATGACACCGACGATGAAACCAGTGAAGGTGAATCTGAGTCAGATGGAGCAGGATCTAAGCCTGCTAAGCCGACCAAAGGAAAGGACAAGAAAAAACGCAAAAGGGAGGACGACAAAGACGATGACGAAGCTGAGGAGGTCTTGTCACCGGTGCTTGAACACATGACTCTCCATTCTGATGATTGCATATATAGGATCAGTTCGATTTGTCATGTCTTCTAGAGGCCGACATGGAAGCCGTGCCTGGGCTTCTGGAAGAGATACTGCTGATCCAGAGCAGGGTCACCAAGCTCCTCAAGCGATGTGACACTTTGGGTGTCAGCAAGTAGCTCGGCTTTGCTGGGGCTTTCCCTCAAACCCTAACCCTAACACACATGAAACTCCATACGCATGGGCCCCGTCTTGACACTTTACAGGAAACCTGTGTGGGAGTTAAACCGGAATGAAGCAAGTTCTCTAGCCAGGGTAAAGTCGAACTACAAAGGTTAGGACTTGACACCACCTGTATTTTATACTTTGTTTTATTTATTAATTCAAGGGTTCTTCGATTTGAACTGGTTCTCACGGGGTGAAGCTTTGGCGATGCTTGTGCTAGGACCTGCTAGGTTGTGTGTGCTCAACTATAAAGGCTTAACGGCTTGACTGTGGGGCTTAGTATAGGGCTTTCCGAGTTTGGTGGGTGCTATAGGTCTGAGGTTGAAAGGAAGCTATCTGGCACGTTGAGGGTGTGTCTGGATCCAATATTTCCAATGGTTCCTAGAGCTGCACATGTGCTATAGTGATCCCGAATCCCAAAGAGCATCTGAGGCAAGCCTCGAAGCTGAAGCAGCACAATGCTGACTTGTCCGAGAAGCATGACGAGCTGGCCGACTTCAAAGCCGCCCACGATTCGGATGAGACTCTTGATCACTCGCAACTCGCATGCATGTTGGGCATTGCACAATGCAATCAGTACTTGTGCTGTTTTAAGGAAGGTGTCGGAGCTGATCAGCAATATCAACAAACTGCTGCCCGGCATGACCGGTTTTCGTTTGGGCGGCTGTCGCCTAAACCCTTTATAAACCCTAAAACCCTAAACTATCCCATGAAGCTTAGGACAAGCCGCATGACAATGGAGGAGAACAAGATCAAGAAGTGCTGCTCCTGGAAGTAGCATCGCATCGGCTGTCTAACTTCAGTACATGCTGATGCAATTCAATGGTCTTTTTCTGTGACCCCCTAGGACCGTGCTCAGTGGACTGAAGCCTGATGGTGAGAGTCGCAAGAACGGGAAGCCTAAAGCCAAGAGCTCCAGCAAGAAGCCCAGCAAGTGATTCGGTTGAACGTGCCACAGATCTTGCAGTTGCAGCTACGGTTTGGTTTGCTGTTGTCATGACACGAGCATGCAGCTGAGCTTCGGGAGCTTCGATCTTCAGTTACTCCTGGCGGCTAGGGGAACATGCTGCCTTGTTTTGAGTGGAACCACGACTGGCTGCTCGCTGGCAAAATGCTCGCTCACGTTGCTGACCAACGTCATAATCGCCACAACCCCTTCCCAACCCATGCCAAAAACCGCATCTACACGCAGGTACTCTATCCCAGCGATCCATCGAAAGCCTTGGATCCAAGTCGTCTGCCTCGGCCCCTGAACCTGGGCCTTTGGCAAAGGCCTTGACTAAAGGCTTGACGAAAGGTGTGCCTTGCTCAACAATTTTATCGGCTACACTTGTTCATGTACCCCAAAACCCTTGCCCTTCTTGCCTTCTGCATCCGCGAAGATGGTCGCCCCTGGAATATACCTTGGACTGCTTAAAGTAGTTGGAGTCGTACACTTTAAAACACATTGTTGATATTCAGGATGTCCAGCGGTTGCTTTGAGGCAGGGGCTCTAGTGGTGTTTGGTGTTCATTAACGGGTTCTGGGTTTCGGGCTTAGCACACAGCAGGATGTGGATATGGGCTTGTAAGTCTACTCTGGGGTTCAGGGTTTAGGGCTTCTAGGGTAGGGTTTAGGGTGTGTTGTCGTTCTAGTTGATGATGATATTTGCATCCTGTTTTTTTAATGTTTAGATTAGCTGCCATAAGACCAAAGCCTAGGTGTCTCATGAGCTGGCTACAGAGCTGGCACAAGCCGTTGTAATGGAGGTTGATGGGGCATTTGGGGACGATGCTGTTGATATGTTGCAATCAGCACCACTTCTACAGGAGATGAGTCGAGGGTACAGTACCGGCCACGCAGCGAGTGTTACCAGAAAAGCTTTGCAGAACATGCCAGAAGTCCAAGCCCCTTTGCCAGTTACTTTGGTAGATGTTGGACTGGAACAAGGTCACCCTTGCATCCTATATTCCGACTACTTTCGTACATTGGCTGACAGGGGAAAATTGGAAATCTTGACAACAGGTGCAGACCTTCAATCTTTCTGGGACAAGATGCAGCCACTGAAACCAGACCATCCAGTGTACAAGCTGCCTGCCGCAGAGAGGGCTTTTGTAATCCCCATATACTTGATCGGTGACGAGGGCCGGGGATTCAAGCACTCAGCCGTGTTTGTGCTCGGCTCAGAACCTGTGCTTGGCAATGGCTGTGAAGCAGAAGATGAACATACTGCACACGAAAAGCTACGAATGAATTTCCGAGGGAACACCATTCTTACAAGGCAGCTCTTTGCCGTCATGCCGAAAAAAACGTATCAGAAGGATTCCACTCCGCTTCGCAGGTTGGTGAATGCTTGGGCCGAGGATTTGGGCAAATGCTTTACCAATGGCCTCGAGGTTCGCTCTGGAGAGTCAGCCCAGACATGGCGGATCGCGACCATTGGTTTGAAGGCCGACTGGCCCGCATTAAGTAAATTGGGATGCTTGACCAGACATTATCTTCGTGAAGCCTACCCCTCTGGGCATGGTCTGTGCCATCTTTGTATGGCTAACACAAAGCAATGTCCCTCGTGGCACGAGCATGACTTCGACAATGCATCATGGGTCGCAGGCTTGGCTACAGCTGTTGCACCGTGGAAGCCCTCCTTCTACATGATAGATCTCTTTCATACCTTCCACAAGGGTATCGGTGCAGATCTCGCCGGGTCAGGGCTGGAGCTTTTCCTGCATGATAACATCATACTATGGCTTTCAAGCTAATGAAACCATAAAACCCCTAGAAGCCCTTCTAATCATTATACTACACTAAGGGAATCGTTTTGAACCGTCATTTAATTTACCCAAAAAGCCTGCCCAAGGTTTCCTTAAGTGAGCTCGTTCTCTTTTGGTTTCACTTACGGGCATCTAAGGTCACCCTATGGGATTTCAAAGTCACAGGATGCAAAGCTATTGGCATCGACAAGAACCTTAACCACCTCTTCGATGCAATGAAATCCTTCAGTCAGGCAAACAAGTTGTACTTGCACATGAACAGCTTGACAAAGAACCTTCTGGGCATTTCGAGTGCAGCAGACTTTCCCTCTGGGTGCCCTGGCTGTTGTGATTCGCATCTTTCTGCAGATTTGTGGTGTTTCTGATACTCAACCGCACTCAAAGATTTTGTGTTTCTCGCACTTCTGACCCAGGTTATGGTTCAAAGGTGCTGACACAACCTTCGTGATCAAGTTTCTGGTTTTCAAATTTCAAGATGTGCTGGAGAAGCACGAGTTTCAGGAATCGGATCTTCGATATTTGAAAGAGATTTTGGCTTGCCTGAAATCCGCTGATGGCTTCATGAGTTCGCTCTACAAGGGAGGTCTTTTTCAAGGAGGGCCACGGCTGGCCAAGATCGTCCGGCTTGGTGAATCCATGGTACAGCTCTATGCCAAAATTGCAAGTTTGGCATATGCACGAGGCTTAGCACGATTCAAATTGAATCCGAAATATCACATGCTGCTCCACATTATTTACCAGCTCAAGTTGGACAAGCAGGCCCAGCACGAAGCATTGAATCCGATTTCACATTCGTGCCAGATGGCAGAAGACTTTATCAATCGCATAGCAACTTTAGGTCGTGCTGTTGGCCCCAGAAAGGTGCCTGAGCGAACTCTTTACTTGTACAAGGTTGAGCTTGCACGAGTATGGTAGGCCATCGCAGTGGAAATGAGCGCTTTTGTGTGGTTGTGGGGCCCAACTTTTAGCCACCGCCCTAAGACCTGCCACCAGTGATCGGTTCCAACATTTAGCATCAACTTCGGCGATTCAGGTAGGGTTTAGTAGCTGAATAGAAAACCCTCAGTAGCTGAGTAGGTAACTAGTTTGGGGCTGTAGGACCAGGGTTTGTTTGTTTTAGGGCTCCTTATATGGATCCTACTATTTTGGCGTTAGAGGACCAGGGTTTGTGAACTTAGTAGCTGAGTAGGTAACCTTTAACCTTTTGGGGTTTACAAAGTCCTACCATAATTGAAAAAGTTAACCTTTTTTTGGGCCCCTAAGAGTAGAGTATATCCCAAAAAGTTGGAAACCGGATTAAGGACAATTTAGTGCTGGGATTCGCGATACATTACTCTAAAGGTATGGGGGCTATTGGGTTTCCAACTTTTGGGCTTCTGCGGTAGTGGTTTTCCTTGCCTTTCGCATGATAAGGTTCAGGGTTTTAGGGTTTAGGGTTGAGGGTTTTATTGCTAGATCTCCAGTAGTACCCTTTGCCCTTTTGTGTCTTGGGGCCTCCTTCTTAAAACCGAAAAGTAGGAAAAAGGGCACCCTTATTGCTATTGTTAAGGAACCCTAAACCCTAAACCCTAAACCCTAAACCGTAGGGGCTACTGAGAAACCGGAGAAGGGTTCTGGAAGCAAAGGCCTTCAAGAGCACAGCCAAAACCCAACACCCGCACCCTAAACCTAAACCCCTAAACCCCCCCCCCCCACTTTTGTGTGGACGTCCGTAGAATTGAGGAATGCCACAACCAGAAACCATAGTTTGTATTAAGCTTTACACCTTAGAATGCTAAGATTTCCGCAAGCCCAAAACCCCGAGCCCTGAACCCAAGCCCCTGCCTAAAGCCCAAAGCCGCAAACCCCAAAACCCCNNGGGATTTCGGGTTTAGGGATTTGGGGGTAGGATTTGTGATTCAGCACTATCGCAGCACCACGGAGGAATGGTCGACGGCACAGGAAAGCAACTCTGGAAGGCTTTCACCTCGCCCGATGCTCATAATAACAAGGACAGAATTTGAATTCCCGCAGGTAGCCCACACAAAAGCTATTTTGAAACCCCTCTACTAATCCTGTAAAATATTGTGCAAACCTATGCTATGCTTGAAAACCGAAATTCCTAGCCTAATCCTTGGTAAAGTGCACTGAAATCGAGATACATCTTCAGAGACCCAAAAGGATACTTATTCGAGAGACCCTGGGAGCTAATGTAGGGGTCTAAATAAATCATTACCACTACTATTCTTTTTTTTTT